AAGCTTTTATCTCAGACTGCATTGCTTCTATCCATCTAGGATCCTTTGCAGCCTCCTTGAAAGATGTAGGTTCACTATCAGCAGACATTTGAGCAAGATAAGCCTGATACTTAGAACTCAATTTTGTGTACCCCAACACAGCAGAAATAGGATAAATACAAGCATGAGCTCCTGATGATTTACTCACATAGTCTTGCATCCATGTGGGAGGTTTAGATTGTCTTGTAGACTTTCTTAGAGGTGCTGAATGAGAATTAGGAAGAGGCTCATCAGCATGAGTTCCATGTAAAGAAGGGTCAGACTCATGACTATCAGTAGCTATAGCACTATCAACACCATTGTAAGAAGACGCAACTGCAGTATCTGTTTCAATATGCTGGTCATCAGAAGGTAGTTCATGTGCTCCAATTGGAGTAATACAAATAGGAAAAAGCTGATAATATTCATCAGAGGGTTTTGCAGCAGAACCAAACACAGGTGGAACTGAAGATGGTTGAGAAAAAGGAAAAATGTCCTCATAGAATATCACATCCCTACTGATGAAAATAGACTTACTAACCAAATTATACAACTTATATCCTTTTTGATGAGCAGCATAGCCTAGCATGATTGACTTGATAGCTCTAGGGGCAAACTTATCTTGTCTAGGCAATGCAGAGGCATAACAAAGACATCCAATTACCCTCATGTGAGCTAGAGAAGGATCACGACCATGAAGCATCTCAAAAGGTGATCGATTTTGTAGCACTGATGAAGGTATTCTATTAATGACATAAACAGCTGCTTCAATACAATGACCCCAAAAGTTCAATGGTAAACATGACTGAAATCGGATTGCTCTAGCCGTTTCTAATATATGTTTATGCTTCCTTTCCACCACTCCATTCTGTTGAGGAGTATAAGGGCAGGAGCTTTGATGAATAATACCATTTTGTTGGAATAAACTGGAACAAGATTGGTTAAAGAACTCTAAACCATTGTCTGATCGGAAAGACTTAATTCTTTTCCCAAATTGAGTGGCAACCATATTAATAAAAGTTTTAAGAATCGTAGAAACATCAGACTTCAATCGAAGCAAAAAAATCCAAGTCCATCTAGTGTGATCATCAACCAAAGTGAGAAAGTATTTCATACCATTGTGAGTTTCAACATGATAAGGTCCCCATACATCCAAATGAATCAAATGAGAAACATCTGCAGTACTACTACTACTAACAGGAAAAGGCAACCTTGTTTGTCTAGATAAGGGACAAACATCACAATGATGTAACTGAAACGAAGTGATATTATGAAAAATCGGCATTCTTCTTAAAACTGCCATGGGAACATGTCCTAGCCTTCTATGCCATAGATCAGGAAGTGGTCTAGATACATTCATGGTTTTCCCTTCAGTCATGGAATGATCATTGTTTCTTGTGTTCAGTATGTAAAGTAATGAAGAAGAAGATAGAGAATATCAAAGTAATGAAGAAGAAGATAGAGAGAGTAATTTGTGGAAGCTTTTCTCTATTGATTCAATTCAATACACATGTACAAGAATCTGTTTATATAGACCCACTAAGTGAAGAGTTAAGTTGTTAGTTAAGATTCTAACTAACTAACTTGATTTATAACAGACTAACTAATTATTTACTCAACTATTAATTAATTGAACAAAGATAAAAAATATCTTCACATTGTTGTTGTGCATTTTGTCAATTCCTCAACAATAACACGATTGAATATTCCTAATAAGATTTTTGCATCGTTTCTTCGACAATGTTTTTTAATTTTTGATTTCGTATCTCCATAGTTAACAACTTTTGTTGTTTAGCATTCTGATCATTCTCTCAATGTTCATATTATAAATGTAACCTGCATTATAACTAACAAATCAATAAATGATCACTTTGAAATAAAATACACAGAGTATTGATATTTATCATATTACCGAAATGACAAACCAAACAGAACTTATACACATAGCTTCATGTTCTGTGTTATCAAGTGATGGTGGATAGTATCAACAAGAACTTCATACTATATAGACAGTGAATAGTAGGAGTTTTCCAATTTCTAAAAAAAGTGGAAAAAATGTTAATCACCAAAATAATTAGAAGAACTAAATCGATTCTTTTCTGTCATTCAGTTAAATTGAATTATCATACCCGTTTAATAGTTCTTTATATGGTTAGTTTCACCAATCAAAAAGTAATAGTAGGCGTTTCTTATTTCTGCGGTGACAAAAAATGAATTTAGAATATGAAAGAATCTAAAATCAAAATAATCAACATAAGTCAGATTCTAAGAAATTACGTGAATAATCAGCCAGTTATATTTTTTTAGAGATGTTAGTTAGAAATGTAACCTTTTGGTTCTTACCTTGAAATAAAAATTTTGGGTTCTTATTTGTGAATAGACAATTATCAAGAATCTAGAAATAAAAGCAATGAAAATATTAGTAAAATTATTTATAATATTATCATTAAAAAAATTATAATGAACAAATTGAATAAATATAAGTAAACAGCCAAGAGATAAAAAAAAAATTATCAAATTATTTTAAAAGAATAAATTATTTTTTTTTAAAATTGAAAGGACGAAATCGTTCCTAATAAAGAGAATTCCTCTTATCATATTAACTTCATTATTCTATTAAAAATAAAAATCGTTGCTCTAGCAGATATTTATGTTCAAAACTTTTTTTAAAAAAAAATTCTCATTACATCGCAGGTATAATGTTTTTTTCGAATTTGTTATTATTCGTGACACAATGTCATATTAATTGTGTGATTTTGTCCCTTAAGTGGTTGTTGAAGCTAATTAGTGGACTAAAGTCAAAAATAAGTTGGAGTTATAAATTTTAATTATTTTCTTTATTTGAATTCAATTTATTACTTTCTTTTCAATATAAAAAAGTTTTATTTTTTCCGATCTTAAACTAAAGATATATATATACTGAAATATTTTTAATTGTGTGGTCTTAAACATACAAGTGGAAGTTAAAATTTAAAATTGATTCATAAGAAAAACATTTCTTAATATTTTGAAACTAATTAGAACATTCTTTATTTGTTTTTGTTAAAAAAAAATTAAAATAATTTTATTATTACTAAAAAATTAGACGTTCGATTTTGAGGCCAAGCTATCTTTAAAGGTATTGGGTCACCCGTATGTCCAATTGCATATGAGAAAGTAAAATAATTGAGCTTGTTTGTTGTTAGTACATGATTCATGTTTTGAAATATAATTGGCTTGCAATAACATGAAAAATATTTATAAGCAAAACAATATTTGAAAAAAAAAGTTGAATAAAATTCAAGGATGATTTATATATGTTCGAACAAATCATATTCTTCCATTGCTTGATAATTGCAATAAGATAATTTTGTGTATGATATCGATAAATTATAGAGTATGTAAATATAATAAGATAATTTTGCGTAAGATACCGATAAATTATAGAATATGTGAAGTCAAGGATGTTTGTACATAAGCTAATTGGATCATAAGGTTTTGGTATTTATATTTTTGCAGCAGACATCTTATGCATGCGACTTTGAAATTTATCCCATTACAATCTCAAGTAATTTTTTAGTTCTACGTTAGAAGAACGAAGTTGATCTTTCGTGAACATAGTGACTTTCTGGTATGTTAAATCAAGACACATTACACAACATTCTTTAGTAAAAAAAATTTCTCAACAGAGCTATGATTATGCGTAAATAATACACTCTCTCCCTAACTTGATTATTTTGAAAAGTGAAAGAATAAAACAAAGTAAAAAATACTAAAAACCAAATCAATTTTCACGACGTCTCACTCAATTTTTTCCACGATATTGAAAAATATTTTCATAGACGTATGCACCAAAGTATATGCAGAAATCACATATAGTCTTTTGTTTGAACAATGAATCAATAATTGACGGTATATATTAATATACATATAACATCACATATGGTTAAAAGCCTTTACAATACATATTAATTACTTATAATTAGGATAAATGGCAGCAACATATATTTGAAATATTGTTAACACCTTCCTCCACTTCCACGTGGAAAGTGACTAAAATATATATAATTTTTTGAATATATCATAATCAAGAGAAAATTATTTCAAACAAAGTCCATATCATATAATAGTAGTTAGTTTCTTCACCTAACTAGATTTACTATCTCTGTTAAAATATTAATAATTAATAAAAAAGTCATATAAAATAAATACTTATGCAAATTATTGTATCTAAAGATTTTTTCTTTTCCACAAATATTTAATACCTTGTGTATATAGTTTTGTATTTAAGTTAAAATATGATGTTATAAAAAAATGTATAATGTTGTAATAAAATTCTCAAATTAAGACTCGCAAGAGTTTTATATGAAACAAAAAATAATTCTAGACATCCAAGGTGTTACATTAGAAAATCTTGTCATTTTAATAATACATTCATAACATATAGTATATTAATAAAAATATTTATCTCATAAAGATTAACTATTAAAAATAAATAATAAAATTTAAAATAATACAAATTTCAATTGACATTAATAAAAATAAACCAAAATCCAAAAATAAAATAAAATTTACCATCCATATTTATGACATTTTATCGTATAAATACTTCTAATTTAATACATTTCTATAGTTTTAATATTATTATCAAAGGTTTGGAAATTAAATAAATATTTTCAATCGAATATTTCGACTTCAAAATTTTAATAATCAAAGAAATTGTGTGGAAATCCTTTTTTTGCTCAAAATAATTTCTAAAACGGGTTATGATTGATGAGAAAACGTAAAAGTGTGATTAGAACTTAATTAAAATAGGCTCTCCATATCCAATTATTAGAAAAATTAAAATAAATAAATAATAGCCCATAGAAGGATCTAGAAACCCTAAATAGGCTAGTATATAAAGTCGCTAAAAACTTCCCTTGATCCTCCTCTTGCATTCGAGTCCCTTTGTGTTCCATTTCGCCTTACAGTTTTCTTCAGCTCGTTAGATCTACAAAAAAATGTCGGACGTAGAGACGTTTGCTTTCCAGGCTGAGATCAATCAGCTTCTCAGTCTTATCATCAACACTTTCTACAGCAACAAGGAGATCTTTCTCCGTGAACTCATCAGCAATTCTTCCGATGTAAGTCTCCGACGGTTTAGTTTTTTTTATCTTCTAGGATACTGTGGTTTTATTGCTCTTTCATAGTTTAAAATTTGATTATTCTAGAGCGATCTGAGCTTTTTTTTATTGTCTTCGGAGAAAGCTTAATGTGATCTATGTGATTTTGAAGTTTGATTATTAGAGAGCAGCATCAATTTTTTTTGAGTTTTTATATGTATTTTGTTGGTGTATAGCTTAACGTGATCTTCTAGGATACTGTAGGTGCTATAATTTTGAAGCAATGATTATTTTAGAGCAGTTTATTTTCTATGTGGAGGTTATATGCTTATCTGTATTGTTGTTGTTGATAGCTTAAGGTGATCTTCCAGCATACACTGTAGTGCTATGGCGCTCTTTGATTATGAACTGTGATTATTTTAGAGCAGCTGAGTATTTTTGTGAGTTTTTTCATATGTATTCTATATATGGATAGCTTGATGTGATTGTCTGGGATACTGCTGTTCCACAGTGCTCTGTCTGGATCGTTCAGAGCTTCTGTTTTGGCATCTTAATACTTAGTTGATAGGAGTGAGTATTTAGCCTGCCGTGTATCTCCAATGGTAATTAAAAATTTGCCTGGTTTGTGTATCGTGTCTTCTAGATACCTAGTCTGAACATATGTATCATCGTAGTGTTATTATATGATTTTCACTATGATATACCATAGTGCCATCGACCTCTGTGACTGCGCAAAATAATTTGAGTAATTTAGAGCACCTAATTCAATGTTCTGCTTTGTCGTCATAATAAGAGTTTATCTAGTTGTCCTATTCTTGTTCAGACTAGGTAATGCAGATACAAGTCTGAATTTTGATTGTCCGATCAGCTAATTAAATCAATATGTTTCTGGTTGAGGGATTCGGTTCTGTTATCTGGATCTATTATATCACAGGAAATGAAATGTTTGTTCTTACTTGGTTGTTAATTGTATGCCATATTTGATATTTTTTTGTATTTTGGGATTATACTTTTAGGCTCTAGACAAGATCCGCTTTGAGAGTTTAACCGACAAGAGCAAGCTAGATGGTCAACCAGAGCTCTTCATCCATATTATTCCAGACAAGGCCAATAATACTCTCACTATCATTGATAGTGGTATTGGTATGACAAAGGCTGGTAAGTAGTAGGGACATATTGGAAGCTAGAAGCTCAACCAGAGTTTCATCTATATTATCTGTTCTTAATGTTGCATTTCTATTTGCTGACCTTCTTTGTTTTATTTGCAGATCTGGTGAATAACCTGGGTACAATTGCAAGGTCAGGAACCAAGGAGTTCATGGAAGCTCTTGCAGCTGGTGCTGATGTTAGCATGATTGGTCAATTCGGTGTAGGTTTCTACTCTGCTTACTTGGTAGCTGAGAAGGTTGTTGTGACCACAAAGCACAATGATGATGAGCAATATGTCTGGGAGTCTCAAGCCGGTGGCTCTTTCACTGTTACCAGGGATACATCTGGTGAGAACCTTGGTAGGGGTACCAAGATGGTCCTTTATCTCAAGGAGGATCAGCTTGAATACCTTGAAGAACGTAGGCTCAAGGACCTGATTAAGAAGCACTCTGAGTTCATTAGCTATCCTATTTCTCTGTGGGTTGAGAAGACCATAGAGAAGGAAATTTCTGATGATGAGGAGGAAGAGGAGAAGAAAGATGAGGAGGGAAAGGTAGAGGAGGTCGATGAGGAAAAGGAGAAGGAAGAGAAGAAAAAGAAGAAGGTCAAAGAAGTTTCCAATGAGTGGTCACTGGTGAACAAGCAGAAGCCTATTTGGATGAGAAAGCCAGAAGAGATCACAAAGGAAGAGTATGCTGCTTTCTACAAGAGCTTGACTAATGATTGGGAAGAGCATCTTGCTGTGAAGCACTTCTCTGTTGAGGGTCAGTTGGAGTTCAAGGCTGTCCTTTTTGTTCCAAAAAGGGCTCCTTTTGACCTCTTTGACACAAAGAAGAAGCCCAACAACATCAAGTTGTATGTTCGCCGTGTGTTTATCATGGATAACTGTGATGAGTTGATTCCTGAATATTTGAGCTTTGTGAAGGGTATTGTGGATTCTGAGGACCTTCCTCTCAACATCTCCAGAGAGACATTGCAGCAGAACAAGATCCTAAAGGTTATTCGCAAGAATTTGGTGAAGAAGTGTGTTGAGCTTTTCTTTGAAATTGCTGAGAACAAGGAGGACTACAATAAGTTCTATGAGGCGTTCTCTAAAAACCTCAAGCTTGGAATCCATGAGGATTCTCAGAACAGGGCAAAGTTTGCTGAACTGCTGAGGTACCACTCCACTAAGAGTGGTGATGAGATGACCAGCTTGAAGGACTATGTGACCAGAATGAAGGAGGGCCAGAATGATATTTACTACATTACTGGTGAGAGCAAGAAGGCTGTTGAGAACTCTCCCTTCCTGGAGAAACTGAAGAAGAAGGGATATGAGGTGCTTTACATGGTTGATGCCATTGATGAGTATTCAATTGGTCAGCTGAAGGAATTTGAGGGCAAAAAGCTTGTTTCTGCTACCAAGGAAGGCCTCAAGCTTGATGAGAGTGAAGATGAGAAGAAAAAGCAGGAAGAATTGAAGGAGAAGTTTGAGGGACTGTGTAAGGTGATGAAGGATGTGCTAGGAGACAAAGTTGAAAAGGTCATTGTTTCTGACCGTGTTGTTGACTCTCCCTGCTGTTTGGTCACTGGTGAGTATGGCTGGACTGCTAACATGGAGAGAATTATGAAGGCACAGGCACTTAGGGACTCCAGCATGGCTGGATACATGTCTAGCAAGAAGACCATGGAGATCAACCCAGAGAACTCCATCATGGATGAGCTAAGGAAGAGGGCTGATGCAGACAAGAATGACAAGTCTGTGAAGGACTTGGTTCTCTTGCTTTTTGAGACTGCCCTTCTCACCTCAGGTTTCAGCCTCGAGGAGCCAAACACCTTTGGCAACAGAATTCACAGGATGTTGAAACTCGGTTTGAGCATTGATGAGGAAAGCGGAGATGCTGATGCTGACATGCCAGCATTGGAGGATCCTGAAGCTGATGCTGAGGGCAGCAAGATGGAGGAGGTTGATTAAGTTCATTAATGTTTTGATAGTTTTATGGGTTCCTTTACTACTACTTTATTCCCTAGTTTTTGCTTTATCCCATCAGAACAATATGTGAGGGTTTTAATGCCGTTCTTTTAGAATGGCAGTTCAATGTTAGGTTATAATTCTCTTTTTTGTTTTGACATTCGTGGTTGATATAGTTTATTTTCTTGCCCAGCTCTTTCTTTCTGTGAAATATTTTACTTTGCTCCCCCCTAATTCTGGATCATATAATTAGTTTGGTACCCAGTATCTTTCATTATGCTAACTTGGTGAAGAGTTTGTAAATAAAAGGGTCATTGTATTTTCCCAGTCTTCTCAACATCATATTTGGATAATAACGGTTGAACCTGGATATAGAAAACAACAGTTGAATCCTTAAATTCGTCATGGTTAGAATTTGTAGATTTGGTTTGGATATAATAAGTAATTATAAATTCATACCCAGACATAAAATAAGCTATGTTATTGAGAAAAAGATTCAATACATAAATTGATATAAAAAGAAATCCTATTGAAAACGATGGATACTCCTGCACTTGCACTGGGTGCAGGTATGAGTATTCCTTTGTTCCTCCTCCCTTCTCCTCCTTGCATAGATCCGATTAATCTCTATTAGAGATAAGATTATATGCACAATCTGTATAATTATAATGTAGTAGCTTATCTTTGTAGAACTAAAGCACGCAGCCATTGTGATGTATCCGCGTCCACCACCCGCTTCAGCTTTCGCCATAATTTCTCTCTGACTCATAGTCATCGATTTGGCCAGTTTATGTTGATTTGATAATAAGCTTGTGATGTATCCCCGTGTACCACCCATGGCCAAACTAATTTGTCTCTGAGTCATAGTCATCCATTTAAGTTTATGTTGAGCCATAGTCTGATTTGATAATAAGCTCGTGATGTATACTTGCCATGGCCAAACTAATTTGTTTCTGAGTCATACTCATCGATTTGGCCGCCATATTAATTTCATGTTGTGAGATTAACTCCAAGATGATTTGATAATACACTCTTCCTTGTTATCGCAATAACACGATTTGATACTACACTCTTCAACCCATGTTGAGACATAGTGATTGATTTTGGATTCACATTTAATATTACACTCTTTTCTGTCTTCAATCCAAGTAGATATCTCTGAGCCATGATCCCTGTTATTGCAATAACAGCATTGATCAAGACTATTGAATACTCCCATTGACATTCTCAACAACAAACCTAAAAACAAAATATATTTTGATATAAAATATACCTTTTTCAATACCCTTTATATAAATAAAATTTCGTATTCCAAATCCTATTACTAATGGGACTCATCTACTCTTTTCTTAATATACGAATCCTTATGAAACACAATAAAATAGTAGGTAAATATAAAAGGTTTAATTTAAAAGATTAAAAAAATATTAATAACAAAATAATCAGAAGAAAAATTAATTGTCTTTTTGAATTAGGTTTTCTCCATAGAAAAAGTTGGACTATGATCCTATTTAGGAATATTTATTTATTTGAAGACATGTTATATATGTAAATTTGAGTAAAAATAATTTTTTTCAAAGTGATAAGTTTAATTAAATAGTGCTTTTTTTTTTTTTTAATACATGACGAGTATCCAATTAAACTAATTTTTGTTCTATTTAACTTTTAAGAACAAAACAAACTAAATTAAGACAAAACGTAAATTTCAAGTCCTTTACATATACGGTTAAACTTTAAAAAGTTGAATGTTAAAGATAAAAAATTACTCTATACTCCTATATTATAAAATAAATAAAGTTTTTGTAAATTGACTTTTCTCTCGCCAAATTTATATATTTAGATAAATGAATGAATGATGTTTATCCAATGACATGTATCTTGACTATATAGTAGGTATATACATTTAATTATATGTATCTAAATTCATACGTTATATTTAAAAATATGTATCTCAAATATATAATAAACTAATACATTTAATTATATGTATCTAAATATGAAATATAGTTGAAAAACATGAATTTAGGACAAATTATGATTGTAGTGTATCTGTCGTATTATTAGTACTATCGTATTGTTAAAAATCATGTATTCAAAATTTAATGGTGGATACATATACATGTTTATATACCTCATTACTAAAAATACAACTCGAATCTTAATTAAGATTACTTCTTATTGGATATACATATTTCAAGGGCTATATAAAAGCAATATTGGTACTACCACATCCATGACACGGTAACCAAAGAAAGTCTTAGAAGAACATAACAATTAAAAAAAACTCTCTACAATACTTCCTTTGATCTTTTTACGTCGTGGCATAACACAATCAAATCTAAGATCCATTTCTTCCGAAGACAAACAATCAAGATCCACTCTGAATTGAAAGTTTTTTCTATAACAGTTACTTTGATTTGATCTTGTCATAAATGACCACCACAAAATAATATTTGGGTTTATGATAATTTATCGACAATAGTGATGATATTTTGAGAAGAAGAGAGTAGAATAGGTATAGTTTAGAAGGGTGTCGACATTAACAAAATGGCAATATAATTAAAAAAACGTGTTGACTAATTATCTTGAATTCAAATGGCCATGATCAAAGTGTAATTCACATATAATCCAGTAAAATTATAAAATATTTTTTAAACCTAAGTAAGTAAAGAACAATGACCCAAAGTCACCAGACTGCAGTGGTGTGAATAGTATATTATATATAACGAAGAGGAGGGGTTTTGTTTGGTTCTAATCAGTCAATAGAAACTCCACATCAATCAATTCATAGAAATAAATCACAAAACAACTATTCAAAAAAGAATAATAAGAAACCATGTAGAGAGCAAACAGAATGTTATACTATGTTCATGGAATCATAATTCTCTTGTCAAATCCCAAATTAGGTGTCCTCAACTCTTGAATGAAAGACAAAGCTCGGAAACGTTGTAGTAATGTCCCTGTTGTTTAGAGGACGAAGATATGAATTAATACAACGAAAAAACAATGAAATACCTCAACATTTCATGTCTCACACTTACTTGAGATATTGGAGGGTCATGTTCTTCAAAAGTGAAGGATGTCGCAACACTAAGTTTCTCCATTCCTCCTTATCGATCTTTCCATCATGCTTGGTATCGGCTTCTTCAAAAGTCTGATAAAACAACAACATATTATTATTAGTTAATCATCAAAAGGTTCACTTTCATAAGACAATGAGATCAGTAAAAATAAGAAAAAACGCGATAAGATTATGGTACCCTCGGGGAATTGAAAGCGTAGACTTTCCCTTTGGTCCAAGATAAAACTTGGCAACATAGACCATGAGGTGAATTCACTATTGTTATGTATGACTTATACAACATGCAGAAACAAGTACTTTTTAGGTTGATGAAGCACCTTGTCAATAATGCTCTCGATCACATCATCAGAGAGGTTCATACCAGACTCCGCAAGAGTAGCCACTACCATTTGCTTTACCTGCACTCAGAAGGCACGTCTTTTATCTTATCAAAAAGCATACACACACAAGTAATGTTGGTTAATAAAGCTCGTAAAGAGACATCAGGGAGGTTTCACGATTAGAGCATCTAAAACTGGGATACTATAAAGTAGGAGAAGAGACTATGAAACATTCTACAAATTATGATGACCAGTACTTGATAAGGCTAAAATGTTATGCTTCATGAGTAAACTATAAAAGGAATAGTTGTCGGAAATTTTAGAAAAGAACAGGAATAGTAAATCAGATTGAATGTGGAGTGGTGAAAAAAAGAAGAACGGGAGCAGAAAGATGACTGGAAACTACTGACCAAAATTGGACTTTGGTCACACTTAATTTGCTTATCATATAATTAAAGAGATACATTAAATGGGCTTAAGGTAACCAAATTATTCCATACTAATCTGAAATATGGAGCAAAAGGACCAGAAATTTGACTAGCCCAATGCAAGACCTAGAAAGATGCCTGTAAAAAAGTACATTCATCAGCCTAAAAGCCCTAAACGCAAACCCCTCGGTGGAGCTTTGCCACCTGGATACAGACCGTTTAATGTCTTTTGCCTTGCCTCAAGAGTCCAGTCAACTACTTAAACAAAGACTTTCAAAATTGGGGACATTTAATCACTTTCACTTATTGAGATTTATAATTACCTCTTGTCTCTCAATAAAACCTTGTTGCTTGAGATCATATAGCTGAAAAGAAACTGCAATAGTAGTAACCCATTAGAAGCAGTTAAGACCAACTAAAGTTAATAGTCATGACTCATTAAATGCAAACACAAAACATACATTCAATCTTGTCATCGATAGGTGCGTTTGGATGGAAAACAGAGAGTGCACGAGCAAATTCTTCAAATCCCAAGATTCCGTTGTGTTTTGTATCAAACAAGTCAAACACCTGCATATTAGATAGGTCAGAGTGGGGGAAATAAAGATAATTCCATCCGGTGTGTCTTCTCAACCTTCCAGACCAATAATAGAAATGTTTAAAATGACAAGGTTCCGGGAATTTAGGCGATAAACTAGAAGCTAAGCACATTTTGTAGGGAGAGAAAAAATAAGAATAAAATAAATGCAATAGCAACACATAAACAAGCATAACCTACAAAATTTACTCAAAATTCAAAATCCACACGTCCTAAAGACATTCATGAATATTTGAAATCACATTCGCCATATTAATATAAAGATGTTCATGAAATCACAATTGGACCATATTAATATATAAACATATTCATCCGCATGATTGATACTTTTATACTTGAAGATTTCTTTAGTAATACTTTTAGTAAAACATATTGTAAAAATTAATTATTTATTTTTACATAATTTCTGAAAGTTATTTTTTAAGAAATTCTTTTAGATTTTGAAAAGAATAGTTAAAAATGTTCCCTTATTGCATCAATATAGGTAGACTCAACTTTCTTTTTTTCGTTTAAAATAGGTAATGCGTAGATGAAAAGTACAAAGTGGGATTTGATCCCGCAACTCGGAACTCCAA